GACTAAATGCTAGCAAGAATAGTCAGCTTAGAGAAGAATATAAACGACTTGATGGAGCTGAAAAATACAACACGAGAACTTTGTGAAGCATACACAAGTGTCAATAGCTGAATCCACCAAGCAGAAGAAAGGATATCAAAAATTGAAAATCAACTCAATGAAATAAAATGAGAAGGCAAGATTAGAGAAGAAAGAGTGAAAAGAAATGAACAAAGCCTCCAAGAAATATGGGATTATGTGAAAAGACCTAATCTACATTTGATAGGTGTACCTGAATGTGATGGAGAGAATGAATCCAAGCTGGAAAACACTCTTCAGGATATTATCCAGGAGAACTTCCCAAACCTAGCAAGGCAGGCCAATATTCAAGTCTAGGAATATAGAGAACACCACAAATATACTCCTCAAGAACAGCAACCCCAAGGCACATAATTTCAGATTCACCAGGTTGAAATGAAGGAAAAAATGCTAAGGGCAGCCAGAGAGAAAGGTCAGGTTACCCACAAAGGGAAGCCTATCAGACTCACAGCGGATCTCTCAGCAGAAACCCTACAAGCCAGAAGAGTGTGGGGGTCAATATTCAATATCCTTAAAGAAAAGAACTTTCAACCTAGAATTTCATATCCAACCAAACTAAGCTTCATAAGTGAAAGAGAAATAAAATTTTTTTATGAACAAGCAATTGCTGAGAGATTTTGTCACCACCAGGCCTGCCTTATGAGAGTTCCTGAAAGCAGCACTAAACATGCAAAGGAACAACCAGTACCAGCCACTTCAAAAATGTACCAAATGGTAAAGACCATCGACACAATGAAGAAACTACGTCAACTAACGGGCAAAACAGCCAGCTAGAATCAAAATGGCAGGATCAAATTCACATAGAACAATATTAACCTTAAATGTAAATGGGCTAAATGCCCCAATCAAAAGACACAGACTGGCAAATTGGATAAAAAGTCGAGATCCATCATTGTGCCATATTCATGAAACCTGTGTGAGGACACACATAGGCTCAAAATAAAGGGATGGAGGAAGATTTACCAAGCAAATGGAGAGCAAAAAAAAAAAAGCAGGAGTTACAGTCCTAGTCTCTGAGAAAATAGACTTTAAACCAACAAAGATCAAAAGAGACAAAGAAGTGCATTACATAATGGTAAAAGGATCAATGCAACAAGAGCTAACGATCCTAAATATATATACACCCAATATGGGAGCACCCAGATACATAAAGCAAGTTCTTAATGACCTACAAAGAGACTTAGACTCCCACACAATAATAGTGAGAGACTTAGACTCCCACACAATAATAATGGGAGACTTTAACAATCCAATGTCAATATTAGATCAACGAGACAGAAAATCAACAAGGATATCCAGGACTTGAACTCATATCTGGACCAAGCAAACCTAATAGACATCTACAGAACTCTCCAGACCAAATCCACCGAATATGTATTCTTCTCAGCACCACATCACACCTGCTCTAAAATTGACCACATAATTGGAAGTAAATCACTCCTGAGCAAATGCAAAAGAATGGAAATCATAGCAAACAGTCTGTCAGACTACAATGCAATCAAATTCGAACTCAGCATTAATAAACTAACTCAGAACTGCATAGTTTTATGGAAACTGAACAACTGGCTCCTGAATGTTGACTGGGTAAACAATGAAATGAAGGCAGAAATAAAGATGTTCTTCGAAACCAATGAGAACCAAGACACAACGTACCAGAATCTCTGCAACACATTTAAAGCAGTGTCTAGAGGAAAATTTATAGCAAGAAATGCCCACATGAGAAGCAAGAAAAGATCTAAAATCAATATCATCACAATGGGAAGAGCTAGAGGAGCAATATCAAAAATATTCAAAAGCTAGCAGAAGACAAAAAATAACTAAGATCAGAGCAGAACTGTAGGAGACAGAGACACAAAAAACCCTTCAAAAAAATCAATAAATCCAGGAATCTGGAAAAGATCAACAAAATAGACAGACTGCTAGCCAGATTAATAAGAAAGAAAAGAGAGAAGAATCAAATAGATGCAATAAAAAACAAAAAAGTGTTTTGATGCAGTTATTGAAAGGTTTTCTCGTATCTTGTTCCATTGTCAGGAAACGTAGGTATCAACTAACACCTTAATACCAGCTTCATGTTGTTATTTGAATAATTGTATATACTATTACTTCTGTATAAATAGAAAATTTTTGAAAGAATAAATTACAACATTTTCATGATATAGTTGACGTTTTCTTTCTACCTTCCTTTATACTCTTTCTTCCATTCAAACATTTATTATGTGTTGACTATATATGAGGTAGGAATTAGGCATTGTGCTAGAGAGTAAGAAGAAGGTAGGGTCCCTGCCTTTGAGAAGCTCATAGTTTGGGCTAGAGGCGGAGTCCACTGTAGTGACATGCCTTAGGTGGCAGCTGATCTCTGTGGAGGTGGGATAAGGTTCATGCAGCATAATTGAGAATAGCATTTCTAGGTTAAATGGAATCAACATTTAAAAAAATTTAAATATTTATTTGAAGTTCTGGGGTATGTGTGCAGTTTTGTTACATAGGTAAATGTGTGCCATGGTGGCTTGCTGCACCTATCAATCCATCATCTAGGTATTAAGCACAGCATGCATTCACTGTTTCCCCTAAAGGTCTCCCTTCCCCCACCCGGAATCAACATTTTAATGGATTTTTAACACTGCCAAATTGTTTCTTAAAAGGACTGTATCGAGTTACAAAGTCACCAGCAATAAATGAAAGTAGCTGATGCCCCACATCCTCACCAGAGTGAGTTTCATCACTAAGACAAAGCAGCACAGCGGGAAGCAGTGGCTCAAACCTGTAATCTCAGCACTTTGGGAGGCCAAGGAGGTCAGATCACCTGAGCTCAGGAGTTTGAGATCACCCTTGGCATTAGACCTCCCTTTTTTCCTGTAAAGGAAAAACTAAGAAATTTAGCCAAGTGTGTTGGTGTGCACCTGTAGTTCCAGCTCCCTGGGTGGCTGAGGTGGGAGGATGGCTTCAGCCCTCGAGATTGAGGCTGCAGTGAGCTGAGCCATGATTGTCCCACTGCACTCCAGCCTGGGCGGCACAGTAAGACCCTGTCTATAAAAACAAACAAAACTTGATACTTTAATAGGCTTAAATTTTAGCCTCATTATTTTATTGTATTTGGCATTTCTTTTTATTATTAGTGATGTTTAACATTTTCCCATGCTTTTATTATCTTTTGTGAAAATACTTTATTCGCTTAGATTCTTGGCATTATTATATATGTGTTACTCCTTTTTAAAACAACTTATTGAAGTGAAATTTACCTAATGTAAATTAACCGTTTAAAAATGATCAATTCATTAAGTACATTCACAGTGTTGTGGAACCAGCCCCTACGTTTAGTTTCAGAACATTTTCACCACTCCTGCAAGGTACCCAGTAAGCAGTTTCTATTTGTCCCTCTCCTTGTCACCAGGCAACCATTAATCTACTTTCTGTTTTTATCGATTTGTGAACTAGATACTTCATATATTGGAATCATATAACATGTGACCTTTTGTGCCTGGCTTCTTTCACTTAGCATAATGTTTTGGAGGTTCATCCATGTTATAGCATGTATAAGTACTTCGTTGCTTTTTACGGCTAATAGTCCATTTCCTGTATATACCACAATTTTTTATCCGTTCACCTGTTGATGGGAATTTGGGCTGTTTCCACCTTTTGGCTGTTACGAATAATGCAGCTGTGATCATGCACACACATGTACTTATTCAAGTACCTATTTTAACTTCCTTTAGAAGTAGACCTAGGAGTGGTATTGTGAGATCATGTGGTAATTCCATTTTAACTTTTTGAGGAATTGCAAAACCATTTTCTACAGAGGCTGCACCATTTTACGTTCCCACCCATAATGTACAGAATTCCCATTTCTCCACATCCTTGTCAACACTTGTGTCTTATGTATATGTTTTTTTTAATGATAGCCATTATAGTGGGTGTGAACTGGTACTTGACTGTGGTTTGATTTGTATTTCCATAATAATTAATGATGATGAGTACTGTTAATATTTGTGAGAAAATGAAGGAAAAAGAAAGCCGTACTCTTGAAGTTATTTTCAAATTAGTTAAGTATCCTTTGAAGAAAGGAAATGTTTACATAAAATTAAGTGAAGTGTCCTATTCCAAATTTGAGTACTGTTAAGCTATTAATTCTGTTTAAATATTTCATCGTTTTCGTAACAGAGGTACTTCTAAAATACAGCCTTTTGCCTCCAGGTTTGTTTTTAGCTTGTTTTCCATTTTTCCATCACCTGGCTGGATTAGGGATTCAACCTAATTTATGCCTTTTAAACAATAGCAGTCAAAGTGAACTTCTGGTCCCTGAAGTTTACTGATGAGTATTGCCTCAGAACTTAGAGATGTAAATCCTCAGGTCCTTCCCATATCTACTGAGTCAGAAACTTTGAGGGTGACCCCAACAGTCTGTGTTTTTACAAGCCTTTCAGTTGAGTCAGATTGGAGGCACATGTAGTTGTCAGAACTGCTACTGTAAACCAAGATTCTTAGGTTGATTCTATGATAAACAAACAGCCCTTGTGGGCGTTGTAATCCACAATGTTGGTCTCATTAGCACCACATTTTTTTAGCTTAAGTAGTCAGACAATATGAACAATTAAGTTGAAATCATGTTAAAACCTCCTATTTAAGAAAGCATAAATCATATAGTTTTACCTAGAAACTGCTATTCAGTTTAAAAATTATGTTAAAAAGAGGAAAGTATTTTTCAAAAGCTGCTTTTGATCTTTGGCCAAATACTGAAGTAATTTAAGAGGCACATACCCATGATGTATATTTTTCCTTTTATTTGTACTTTTTCAGTTTTTTTGGCCTTGCTTTTCATGAGCTATGTTTCCTTTTATTTGTGTCTAGACTTTATTTTTTACTGCTTCAGAGCCAACATTATGAAGCTTTTTATTGTGAAGGCCAATACGGCAGAGATGTTGACGGAGAGAGAAGTGTGCGTGACCCAAACACGGGCTTATTTGAAGAGGAGTGTTTTTTTTTTTTCCTGCGCAGGCTATTCAAAAGGAAGAAGTATATCTACTTTGCAGAGTTTTATGAGGATTTAACTCACACATTTATGTATATTATAACGTGTGGTACATGATAAGCATTCAGTAAGTGTTTTATATTATTAGTATAATTGCTGTATGTAAAATTTGACTTTAACATAGAATATGGTAAGCATTGAAGCTTTTGCAAATAATATATCTGGATCTCACAACCCAACAGCATGAACCATGTGCCCTTTCAAAGGCAAATCACCCACAGATATTGTGTTTCAAGAGTGTATTCATGAAGTAACTATAGAGTTAAGTGTTAGGTGGCAGAGGGGAAATTCTATGATAGGGCCTCCTAAAGTCCTCCTGTTTTAAAGCCTCTAGGCTAGGATGAGGGAATGGTTAGGAATGGTTAGTAAGTGAATGGCAAAAGAAGAGTCAAAGGGTTTGAGGAAAGGCTTTTTTGTTTTGTTTTGTTTGAGATGGAGTCTCTCTCGCTCTGTAGCCCAGGCTGGAGTGCAGTGGCATGATCTCGGCTCACTGCAACCTCTGCCTCCTGGGTCCTGGTTCAAGCAATTCTCCTACCTCAGCCTCCCGAGTAGCTGGGATTACAGGCACAAGCCACCAATGCCCAGCTAATTTTTGTATTTTTGAGTAGAAAAGGGGTTTCACCATGTTGGCCAGTCTGGTCTTGAACTCCTGACCTTGTGATCCGCCCGCCTCGGCCTCCCAAAGTGCTGGGATTACAGGCGTGAGCCACTGTGCCTGGCCGAGGAAAGGCTTTTTTAGGGGAGAGGGGATTGAATATATTTATAGACTGAAGGAGAAAAAATTAACCATATGAGAAGAGATGAGTATCAGATGGTAAGAGGTGGAATGAGACTGCAGAGTAGAGAGGAGCGGCAGGGGTGACGGCCGGAGACTGGCAGGCTGGAGTGGAGGAGAGATATGAGACGTGCAGAGAGGAGTGGGACGTGTGTGTCTGGGGGAGCAGCCCTGGGAGACAAGATGGTTGTGTTCAAATATTTGAAAGTCTATGATGTGGAGGAGGTAGCAAACTAGTTCTCTTTGGTACCAGGTGACAAAACTCATGCCAGCTGTAGGAGGACCAGACCTAGATCCAATATAGGGGAGAATTACCTGAGGACCCAAGCAGGTACAAAGACGACATGAGCTAATCTGAAGAAATGATCCTGGCTAGGCTACCTAGTTATGTTTCTTGCCAGCTCTATAGCACTGGGTGAATCGTTTAAATGCTGGAGCAGCAGTCTCCTTCCTAACCCGTTGCACCAGGCTAAGGGCCTTCCTGGCCAAGTCCTAGTGTGACAAGTTAGTTATCTGCCTGGCTGTCCTCACCTTGGTTCTCTAGGGCAAGGACCAAGTCCTTGTTATATCCCCCTATGCACACAGGGTCCGAAACACAGGACTCTGTGACATGTGTTTTAGGTTTCCCATAAAACACAAAATTTTGGCTGTGTCATATACAGAATTCAATCTGTAAAAAATGGGAATAGCAAAACCCATTTTGAAGGATTGTTGTTAGGGTTAAATGAGATAACATATGAAACAACCTTGCATAATTCTTGGAACATAATAGACAACTAATAAAATTAGTTTCTTTCCTTTCTGAAAAAATCAGTATGTCATAAAATGATATTCAAGATACTGAGTAACTGTTTTAATAAACAGTAATATAAGTTTCCAGACACCTAAAAGGGCTCATGGCAGGAAGCATATGGGAGTGAGGCTAGATTGGAGCTTCCAGATGTTGCCCAGTCTATTTTTCTTGTCTTTAGCTAAAAATGATTTCGGGAAGAGATGATTCTCCCCATTGTGACTTGTGCGTTTTGTTTTGTTTGGTTTTGTTTTTGAGACAGTCTAGCTCTGTTGCCCAGGCTGCAGTGCCGCGGTAACGATCTTGGCTCACTGCAACCTCTGCCTCCCAGGTTCAAGCACTTCTCCTGCCTCAGCCTCCTGAGTAGCTGGGATTACAGGTGCCTACTACCACGCCTGGCTAGTTTTTATAATTTTAGTGGAGATGGGGTTTCACCATGTTGGCAGGCTGGTCTCGAACTCGTGACCTCAAGTGATCTGCCTGCCTCGGCCTCTCAGATTGCTGCGATTACAGGTGTTAGCCACCGTACCTGGCCCATTGTGACCTGTTCTAATATCTAATCTTTATTTTCTGGAAATTCTGTCTAATATGACTTCTCTAATAATTTAAGCTAATTTCCTCACAGACATGGAAGAGTAATCTCATTACTATTTTCTGAAGCAGTTTGTAGAATTTTTCTTAAAGCCATTTTTTTCTTGTTGCTTCCATCTACTCTTTCCTATTATTCTCTTTTGTTTGTTTCTTTGTGTTGGTAGTTTCCCTATCTAGTAATAGATAGAAGTTGTTGGCCTGGCATGGTAGCTCAGGCCAGCACTTTGGGAGGCCAAGGCAGGCGGATTGCCTGAGGTCAGGAGTTTGAGACCAGTTTGCCCAACATGGTGAAATCCAGTCTCTACTAAAAATACAAAAAAATTAGCTGGGCGTGGTAGCGTGCACCCGTAATCCAAAAGTGATCTCAGGATCACCTGCTTGAACTAGGGAGGTGGAGGTTGTAGTGAGCTGAGATCGCGCCACTACACTCTAGCCTGTTCGACAGAGCGAGACTCTGTCTCAAAAAAAAAAAAATTTGTTTTGAGGAAAATAATTGACATCATTATAAATGAAGATTCTTTTAGGACTATAGAAAGATTTCTAGTACTTTATCTTTGCTTTAAAATTCAAATTGTGAAACACATCTTTGCTTCCTCCCTGTTCTCTTAGAGCAAGTCAGTAATGTTTCTGTGAGCAGATTCTATAGTAATCATAGGCAGTTGACAATATGAGCACTGTTTTATGTTAGCTAAACAATGAGAACAACAGATGCTACAAAGTAAAAATAACTGTTAAGACTTTTAACGTTTGTGCTAAACTATGTATTTGGGAGCTTCTGAATTGTGGCAAGAGTTTTAGTAATCTGTTTTTTTCAAGTGCTTATTCATTTAGTGCAATTAGCGCGAAGTCAGGTTTTCTGGAGTTGTGCTTGTACACGTGTACACGGTATTCACCATCATGTAATTATGATGTGAACAAATATATCACTGTGTGTCATCTCATGTCATAGGACAGGTATCCATGCGATGACAATAAATATTAAATGACTGTAAAAGAATGATACAATGCCAACAAGGAGAGGAAATATGGTGCAGAGTTAAATTTTGTATATAAACGTTAGCAAAGTGCTGCAGTGAATTACCATTTTCTTCATATTAGGCAGGGTGCAAAGGAAGACTTTTTAAGTAAAGAGAAATCTCTGGAATTCAGCATAAAGACTCTAGTTAATTTCAGGATTTGTTGTTGTTGTTGTTGTTGCAAGTTGTTGCTCCTTTGCAGGGAACCAACAAAAAACAAACTCTATTTGTTACTTACTTAACATCAAAGAAAGCTTGAATGTGTAAGAGATTCCTTGTGTACAACGAGAGGAAGAAATTTAAAAGTTAATTAACATCAGTTCACTGTATTTGTTTTAATGTATGTTGCTTGTAATTTTGGAATACATCTGTTCTTTTTGCTTTATGTTATTTTTTAGTACATCATAGTAATATTTTCTTTTTATTAGGATAGTCCTGTAATTGGGTGCTTAATTTGTTTGGAATCTGAGAATGTTATTCTATTTATATTTTATAATTTGCATAAAAACTCAATTCTAAAATTTTAATATTTACAAATATGTATGTAATGGTTTTACTTATTGATAGAGTGTAGAGAAAAGATACATATTTATCCATATATAGAAAATAAAGTATTAAATTGATATTTGAAGTAACACTGCAAGTAAATTTTTATATTAAACATTTTAGGAGTGAAATTTTCTGAATTTTTCAGAGTTCACAATTACATGTATACCTATAGATGTAATTCTAGTCTTAGAATAGTGACAGATAAATGCTTATCTGCTAATCAGTTAGTGGAACAAACTGGATTATTTCCAAATGTAATCAAGTTACTATTAACTTGTAATCATAGCACATGCTCTGAAGCTTTTATAAGTTCTTATTCTAAAAGCAATAAATATATTCCTGTCATACTCATGCTTAAGCAGATTGAATTGGTGCCCAGGTAATACTAGTCTAATATTTCTCTTTTGTCACTTAAACTTAACGTTCTCATGTTTCCTCCTTCTTCATTTCTTTAGGATGCATGTGCCTTTTAGACAGCATTGATAAAGGAGTTAGTGAAAGAGAATCACCAAACAGTGATACAGAGTGTGTCCTGGCACAGAAGCTCTTAATCTAGTTGCTTTATTGGGGTAGTCAAAGAGACCATGTATGCAGACAAGGAGGTGTCCTAGGGTATAGGGATTTTTGATATGGTATCTCATGCTTTGTCAAAAGAAAAATCAATTTTCCTGGGCAGCTTTTGATGTAAGACAGAATTTGAGCACAATTCTAAGAATAAAAATTTTTGCATTTGAACTCAGATTGAGTTCAAATAAACTCCATGTTTACAAAGAAAACATGGCAAGTTGACATGTTTGGGCACATTGCTTAACATGTTTGAGATTCATTTTACTCATCTGTCATATATTGAAGTTTACCATTTCATGGGCATTATACTGTTTAGTTTTCATCTAAACTTAATCGTCTTCTTACCACCTTAAAAAAATAGGAAACTGGGGCTTTTAAGGCTAATAACTTGCTCTAGGTTGTATAGTGAGTAAGTAGAAGAATAAATATTTGAGCCCAGTTCTCTTTGATGCCAAATTTCAAGCTCTTAACTACTAAGCCCATCGTTCCCACACTTTAGTGTGCAGCAGAATTACCTGGAAAGCATACATTGCTGGGACCTAGAGTTTCTCATTCCACAATAGGGCTCAAGAATTTGTATTTCTTTTTTTTTTTTTTTTTTTTTTTTTTATTTTATTTTTTCTAGAGATAGGGTCTCACTCTGTTGCCCAGGCTGGAATGCAGTGGTGCAGTCATGGTTCACTGCAGTGTTGAACTCCTGGGCTCAAGTGATGCTCCCACCTTGGCTTCCCAAAGTGCTGAGATTACAGGCATGAGCCACCATACCTGGCTAATTTTTTATTTTTTTGTAGAGAGAAGGTCTCACTGTGTTGCCCAGGCTAGTCTTGAACTCTTGGTCTTAACCCATCCTTCTGCCTCAGCCTCCCAAAGTGTTGTAATTACAGCATGAGCCACTGTGCCCAACCAGAATTTGTATTTATAACCAGGTCCAGATGTTGATGCTCTGGTTCTGGAAACTATATTCTGAGAACCACAGTTCTGTACTGTGCTACCTGATTTGATTGCTCTGAGGGATAAATGAGAAAATTCACATATGCTTGTGTTAATAATCACTGACATTTATTGCTACTTATAATGTCTTGGATACTCTTCCAAGTTAAATTCTTCTTATCCTGAGTTTAATTTTAGGAGCTAAATTGTAGGGAGAGTATATAAAGGTATAATCACTACTCAAAAGAGAAGGAAACTGAGGTAGGAAGAGGTGCCCAGTAGGTGGTCTCACAGTGAGTCAGTGGTAGAGCGGGTTACCCTCATTATTGCTTCTGCCTGCTCATCTAGTTTGGAAGGCCAGTGTCGTCTTTGGAGCCATCCCCAGAAAGAGAGATTTCATGCTATGGGAAGGCTGAGAGAAAAGTAGACCCTTCCTTTCATCTATTGGTGTTTTGTGTCCTTGGAGGACTGTTGCAGAGCAGGCCTGGAAAAAAATAATTTTCCTCCTTTTTATATCATTCTTCAGCATTCTGAAGGGTGGGTGATGTACTTTGTTATTCCGATGAATGATGTGATTCTGAAAATGACCTATATTTCAATTGAACTATGAGATCTTTGATAGTCATTAGCATGGATAAAAGAGATTCCTGGAGATTTTCTATGTAAGAACCATGCTAGTGGTGCCAGTGCATTAAATTAGAAAATGTGTTGACTGATGGTGGCCGCACTCCAGGAAGGCATCTGTGGTGTTAACCTGCTGATTGCTGCTCCAGTAGCCAAGGAGAATCTCAAAAACAAAATGCAAGGATGTGAGAAAAAAAAAAACCTATTGTAATTAAGTCTGAAACCTATGCTCTGCTTGGGAAACTGTAGTTTCTTCGTTGGTTTTAAAGAGAAAAGTCCTACAGAGAAAGCGTCTTAAAGAAAAAATGGTCTTAAGAGAGGGTATAAAGCAATTTCAAAAGATGAGAGATCACATTGATATGTGAATGAATACTTTATGTATTTGGTCCAGTTAAAAATTTTGTTGGGTGACTGTTATGTACAAGATACTTACAAAAAATTTGTCTTTCCTCTCAAGGAGAACTTATAGTAGACTTCACAGTTGAGTGTTTTAGTTAATTTATATAGGAGCATTCAGTCTGAAACTGGTGTAACCTCATTCAGATCTTGTCTCAAAGCTACTGATAGGATTTTCCTGATACCAGTATTTGAACCCTGGGACCCATTTTTCTTTTTAATGGGGTATCCGTTTCACTGCAGAGCTAGAGCTACATCCCAGGCTTCCTGACTCTCAGCTTGGTGTTTTCCCTGATTTTGGATGTCTTTATTTATTTATTGTATAGATTTATCACCAAATATTAGGGAGTGAACTTTCAAAACGGTATTATGACTTATCCTACTTTTTTGGATATATACCTCTGTATTTTATCCTTGTTGTTNTTTTTTTTTTTTTTTTTTTTTTTTCTTTAAGATTTTAAATGCAACCTAGACACTTAACTTGTGGTTAGGGTGCTGAATTTTGATATATGCAGTTTGACGGAAAGAATCACTGGTGTGTCTATTCTGGTTTGTTGTAGGTTAACGAAGCCCTTGTCATTTGCTGATTGTGTTGGGGATGAGCTGCCGTGGGGATGGGAAGCAGGGTTTGACCCTCAGATTGGTGTCTACTACATCGATCACATCAACAGTAAGTTTTCCTTTTTGGTAAAAGCAAACATACCAGAAAAGCAGTCCCCAAAAACCTAGTCACACAAAAGGATAAACATTTTACAAAGTGAATTTCCTTATTTTAAACCCCATTTTCTTAGTGGCCAATATTTAACTGAAATGGCTGTCTTAGTATTTGGAACATGTACATAGGGTTGTCCTTATGGGGATGGAGAGGGAGAAGGGGTGTCTGACCTGTGTGCCTGTGTGCCTGCCTGCTGAGGAATGAGGATTGTCCTTTAGGACAGGTCTCAGAGCCTCTGGGGATCAGAGCTGTTGGGCTCCTCTTTCCATGGCCACTGCACCTTCTGACTGGGCTCCTCCTTTCCTTATTTTTGCCACAGAAGGACTTGGCCATTGACACAGTATGGTTTCTGGGCTGGGATTGGAGAGGAGTTGGCCCTTATCAGTGGCTGTAGAAGACAGCATAGCTGGGAAAAGTCCTAAACCCCTTCCTTCTTTCTGTTTCCTGATTTCTTTGCCATTGGAAGGGGAAAACCTCTTGTTTTAACAGCATTTAAATCTTTCACATCTCTGACATAGTAAGTCTAGGGCAGAGGATTACTGTGACTGTGAATGGCTTTCAAAAACACATACTTTGAAGTATTTTTTATATCTCCGTGTGTGTTTGTGTGTGTTTATATGAATATCTAGCTCTCTAGTTTAAAAATTTATTCAGATGATAGCATACAATATTTATTTTGCTGATTCACTTAAAAATAATTATTTTTATAGATTTTGGGGAATACATAATGAATTTATTCCTTATTATCTTATTTCTTTTAGATCTATTCTTATATTTAAAATTTTTATATGCAGTACTCTGTAATATCTTTAGGAACAATATCACTGTAGCAAAGGGTTTCATTTGATGCTGACCCATTGGTGATGGCCTGCAGCTGCCTTTGTGTAGCTGGATGATGTGTTTCTCAAGAGGTCAAAAAAGCCTGTATTTTTGGCTGTGAGGCACCATCTTCCAGGTGGGTGAGATGGAGGGGCAGAAAGGAGCGTAAGCACTCTAAAGTCCAGTGAGCACATACAGTCATTGATCTGTTTTAATAGAACACCTGTCATACACAGTTTGGGAACCAATTTTTATGTGCACTGTACATTGTTAGTTCAACACAAATACAAATAATAGTTTCTACAACATGTTGCCTTAGCCTCTTTTATATGACCAGAAGAAATGTGACTTTTTTGAAGAGATATTATTTCTCTGTCCTTGAAAGTTTCTAAAAGTTCTATGAAGGATTAATGATTATGTTTTTAAATTAGCTTTTAATTTTGTGTTTTCTAATAATAAATGTATATTGATATACTATATATACCAGGTTTTGTTGTGTATCAGTAACTAACAACCAAATGTCATCTGTAATGGTGATGAAATGAACTAATTTTGGTAAAATTAAGTTCATTTCAAGCACTGTCTCACCCTTATATCATTGCAAATAAACAACTCAGTGAAATATCTGAAATGTATTAACTATTTAACTCTCACTTCTTTACTTGCTTTAGATGAATAATTATGTAGCTTTCTTTCCTTAAAGTAGTATTTGGGAAACCAGAAACCAACTGTGCCATCCTAGGTCAACAGAAATAAGCTCTCTTTGTACCAACATCAACTTCCCTCTCAACACCTACAAACTCTTTGGTATCTAAACCCACCTTCACTGCTTTCTCCTCTTTCTCAGTGAAAGAGGTATTCCTCTGGATACCACCACCCCTATAGATACCTGTTAATAACTTTTCTATTTCATCCTTCTTTCCTGTTTGGTATCTTTACTAGTTATTTCCTGATTTTAAAATGTTCTTCTACCATTTCTAGTAATAAATTATTTTGTCTTAATATATAAACACTGGAAACTCTCAAAACGAAACCAAAACCGCAAAACAAATACAAACAGATGGCATTAAGCTCCTTTTCTTCACCCTCTCAAAACCATCCTTCAGCCGAAATCCCTCACCAGCCTTGGTTGTCTCCTCTTCCCTTCACAGCCAGACTTGCTGAAAGCTGTAGTCTACAGGAACTCCACTTCCTCCATTATTCTCCATCATCTCACAGAAACTGTTCTTGCTGAGGGCACCTGAGACACCATAATGTAGTCTGGATATTTGTCCCATCTAAATCTCATGTTGAAATGTAATCTCCAGCATTGGAGGTAGGGCCTGATGAGAGGTGACTGGATCATGGGAGTGGATTTCTCATGGTTTAGCGCCATCCCCTTGGTGCTGTCTTCACTGTGGTGCATTCTCACGTGATCTGGCTGTTTAAAGGTGTGAGGCATCTTCCCCTTGCTGTCTTGGTTCCTCTCTCTCCACATAATGTACCTGCTCCAACTTTGCCTTCTGCCATGAATAAAAGCTCCCTGAGGCCTCCCCAGGAGTTTAGCAAATGCCAGGGCCGAGCTTGTACATCCTGCAGAACTGTGAGTCAATTAAACCTCTTTTTTTTTTTTTTTTTTAAATAAATTACTCAGTCTCAGGTATTCCTTTATAGCAAGGCAATAAGGGTCTAATACAACCCGCAAATTATCAAATCCAAACAACACTGTAGGCTTGTCTCTGTGACTTGTCACTGTGAGTTATTCCCTCCTGCTCTTTATTCATTTGATTTTGTGACATACTGTTCACATACCTGACTGCACCTGCCCACCTTTCTTTTACCTGTTCCTTTTGCACCTGGACCCGATGCCAGGATTTCTGTAATAGTCTTCTGTTGTTTGCATGCTGCAGATCTCCTTGGGTGATAACTTTAATTACTTCCTTCAGGCTACTGACTGCCACATCTAAGTCTTTCTCAGAGTCTGGATGCATATGTTGTATTTCTTGCTAGAAGACTCTTCCCAGTCTGCTTGCACTGGCATCTCCTTTTTCATCTCCTGCCCTGCCTGGCACTGGAGATCTCTAGGAGTACCCTGTGCCTCCTTGGCTGGCTGCCTTTCTTTGCATCCATGGAGCCTAGCCTGAACACTCTCTGCACAGGTCCTAGACCTTCTTCACTGAAGGCCACATCCTTCTAGGGGTGGTCTGCTCAGGTGCCACTGCTGCTCATAGGCCTTCTCTGATACCCACCCCTCCACTTCACAGGTCCCATCACATTCTGGTTGAATGCTCCTTCCAGATATTTCTGGAGGACCAGGTATGTAGGGATTTTGTAAAAAGCATTGTCATATCGCATTTATATTATTTTTTGTTTTCCTCACTAAATTGCGAGCCTCTTGAGGGCACTGACTGCATCTTTTATGTTTTCATTGCTGGGTGACTAGTATAATGATAAACTCTTAAAATGTTAAAAAGAAGAGCTTTATTGCTTAATTCAGCAATCAAAAGCTTTCTGTTCTTATTTAAAGGAATTAAAGTACACTTCAAGTATAAACTATGCTTCAGAAAGCACCATTTTGAATATTTTAAAACTTCACTATTAGAATATAAAATTTTAAGTCTACTATTTTGCTTTAATGGTAATGGTATTCTAGTGGTCTGATGTACCCAAATTACCAGCAGCAAATAGTTCACCCACTGAAAATGATCTGGTCCATTGTCTCATTAATCTTCAAGACATTCTTTTGAGGTAGTTTAGGAAACAAATGGTATTATCTTCTCAAACAGCTGTTCCACACATATGTTGTGTTTTGACATTGTATAGCTTCAGCATCATTTTCTCATTATTTAAATAAAAGATGAAATAAGAAATGTTTAGCTGTTTAATACTATCTCTAAGAAACACTATTGAATATTTAGAAGTAAAAGATTTGACCTTGACAGTAAAAGTTATTTTGGGCCATAAGTGTTTTATGGTCATTTTCACCTTTCAGTGGGTATGTGTGGAATGGGGATATAGATATCAATGAGGGATGTTTGTAACTAACTAGAAGGTAATAAGGAGGTGTGGTTTGTAAGGTTTTGATGTTACTAATACAACCAGAAGTAAATCACTTTTTGGTAGAGTCAAGAGTTGTACTACAGTTTTTTATCTTTCTTTTAGTAATCGAGGTTTCATATACATACACAAAAACGCACAGATTTTAAGCATTTATTCTGGGCAGACTTTGACATATGTATAATCTTTCATAATTTGCCCCTGCATCAAGGTACAAACTTCTTCCATCACCCTAGTAAGTTCTATCTGCCCCTTTCTACTCAGACATTGTTCTGATTTTTATAACCATAGCTTAGTTTTGTCTATTCTGGAACTTCATATAAAAGGATGTGTTTAGTTTTGGGAATAATCCTTTCAACATGTTTTGCAGCTTGCACTCGGGAGGCAGTTTGTACCTGTGGTTCCACCTACTTGGGAGGCTGAGGTGGGTAGATCTCTGAAGCCCGGGAGTTCAAGGCTGCAGTGCTCTATGATCACACCACTGCACTCCAGCCTGGTTGACAGAGTGAGACCGTGTTTCAAACACAAACAAACAAAAAGTACTGGTGTGTAGGGAAAAGTAGAAAATATAGATAAATAAAAAGAAGATTGGGAAGCCGAAGTGGGTGGAACATGAGGTCAGGAGTTTGAGACCAGCCTGGCCAACATGACCACGAGTAGATTCAAAGGTCTCAAGAGGCTAAAGAAAGCAGGACTTGAGGAACGACATGCAGGAAGTTCAGTGCAGCTGGAGGCTGGTGTGACTGGGATAACCAGGGGTTTTGGCTGGAGCAGGAAACAGGGGCCAGGTTCTCTTGTTGGGAATCTTTCAAAACCGTCTTTAAAAACTGCCTATGCCATGGAACTGTACTCTTTTCAGCCAGAAGAAACCCATTTGTTTCTAAACTGCCATGGCACTTAGCCATTCTTCACTCCAGGTGCTAATCATGTTCTGCAAATATCTGTGTCACTATTTATTCTACATTTTGTAAGTTTCTTGGAAGAAAGGATCATGCCTGAGTATCTCATTTTCCCTATTGCATGTGGTAGATGGTAAATAATTGTCTGTAGAAATTAATGGACAAATAATAGATAAAAATAGCAGATACTTTATAAAAAGG